TTTCTTTGCGGGAACATTTGGGCGGCGTTATGAAAATCTTCCCACATCGTGACGTAGATATGTGGGGGCGTGTTAGAATGAGCCGTTTTCGGTAGGCGTGGTTGACTCTTAACTTTTATAAAGAATATCTCTTTGGATTTGAGACTTTAGTCTTTGCAACTTTACAGATCTTCTTTATGCACCAAGAGCTTGTAACACTCCAAAGAGAAAGGAAAAATTTAAATCGCATCATATGACCCCTTTAAATCCATCATGATTTCTTCTCACTTTATGGTATCCTTGTGACATTTGCAGAAAAGTTATCTTTATTTTTTTAATTTTTTTTAATTGTATGAATTACCATGTCATTTAAATCATGTCCTAATCTGCATGAAACCGTTCAGCATCTACCCACAGATTTGACGGGGATTTCAAGTTTAAAAGCAAGGTCAGTCGTGCGCTCATTGTCACGAGGCACTTCAACATTCACCGCGGTATATCAGGGAGCCATTGTTTTCTATTTTTTTTCTTTCTATTTTCTTTTATGTCGGGCAGAATGTGGGAGACCCAGTCGCCATGGTTTCTCCCTTCTGAAATAAAGGTGGACTAAAAACACAGGAAAATGTGACCATTTGCAGAAAAAGACAGCTTAAAAGCCTGTCACATAGCATAATTATCTGTATTATGTGTAATTTTCTTTAGCAGTAAGGCGAAGTCAGAAACCACTGTAACCACATGCATGTGCACCATAGAGAAGTTTTAAACCACACCTGGGTTTCAGTCCTTAGACCGCAAAACTACAGTGAGATTCATTTTAAATCTCTCTAATGTTTCCCTGTTTTCAGGGGGAATGTTTTTTTTGTATTCGGCCCCTCCATAATGGCCTTGTGCTGCATTAGATGACGCACATTAGAAAAAGGCTAATAATGCCGTGACACATTTTCACTATTTTTACCAACTTAACTCGCTTTGTACATTTCTCCATAATATGTGGGTTTTACCCTTGTTCTTCTGGACAGTGTGAGAAGAACCGTGAATAATCTGCTTTAATAACAAACAAAATTGTTTGATTGCTATCATGAACTCTTCAAGGAAGCTAACTGAAATTCCTGGCTGCAGAAAAAGAAATAGAAGGTATGCAAAGATTAGATTTTTAAATATATCAATAGCTACAGTTTTATTAAGGAACATATTTTGTACTCAAGCAATTTTGAGTTTCAGTCCTTAGACCGCAAAACTACAGTGAGATTCATTTTAAATCTCTCTAATGTTTCCCTGTTTTCAGGGGAATGTTTTTTTGTATTCGGCCCCTCCATAATGGCCTTGTGGTGCATTAGATGACGCACATTAGAAAAAGGCTAATAATGCCGTGACACATTTTCACTATTTTTACCAACTTAACTCGCTTTGTACATTTCTCCATAATATGTGGGTTTTACCCTTATTCTTCTGGACAGTGTGAGAAGAACCGTGAATAATCTGCTTTAATAACAAACAAAATTGTTTGATTGCTATCATGAACTCTTCAAGGAAGCTAACTGAAATTCCTGGCTGCAGAAAAAGAAATAGAAGGTATGCAAAGATTAGATTTTTAAATATATCAATAGCTACAGTTTTATTAAGGAACATATTTTGTACTCAAGCAATTTGTATTCTAATAAAGGAATGCTTTTTTGAAACATATCAGACATAAAGTGAATTTCGAGAGAGAAAATTAATTTAACCATAATTTAGTGACATTAAAGGATATTTGCTCCATGGCTTTTAATGCTACAGCGACATCTGCTGGTTCATTCATCAGATCAAATCAGATTTTTGGGTCCAAGAAAGATCGAAGGCCTATCCTGTATTTCAGTACACTGTAAGATTTTTCGAAGATGTAAATAAAACAAAAATTATTGTAGTACGTTTTAGAAGAAAGTACTGTTTCAGTTTTTCGACTTCAAAATTTCACTTTTAATTCAATGTGTTATTTCCCATTTCTTTGTAGTTGTTTGTGAAATTTAGCAATTCCTGCAGTGAAAATAGTTTGTACAACCCTTTGGTGACTTGTAGGATTTATCCTTATATATCCATCATATATGGATGGGGGGTGAAATGACACTGCTTTTTTAAAATGTATTTTTAGATGCTATAAACCTCAGTAGTACATTACAATTACTCTGGTAAATCTTCAGGCCAGGACAGAATCTGTTTTTCTCATTTTAAGACACATCTTTTAAAGTGTATATTCAGCCAGCTTCCATTGACTCCTCCCCTTTGCCTGAATGTTGTATAAATGAGACACTGCCATCAACACAGCCTGAATGGCTGAGACTGTAAAACTATGGAGAAACTTGGCATGATTCTGTTTGTTGCATTGCTTGCACTTTTTGCAGGGAATGGTATAGGACATTTTTACTGCATGGATAGAGTGTTTGTATGTGTAACTCTGTGGAAGTGAGGGATACAATATTTAAAAAAAGAAGAAGAAAAAAAAGACTGAATTTACACATTCATTCTAACAATGTTAATTTGCGAATGTGTTACTTAATTGCAAATTCATCTGAATATCGTCCAATTGAATTTTTTTGTCATAACTGTATTTGTTTTAACCAATACCATTAAAGCTAGTGTGCAAAGATGTTACTAACATTTCAATTCAACATATACATGCACAACATGCTGGATACTTGGATAATTGTGGATATTATTTTGTCTCAGTGCATAATGCTGAAGTGCAGATTCAGAATTGGACTTGTGGCTATGGAGGACTCTGTCGTCGCTTCAGTTTTGGTCAAGAATACATTGTTGGTCATGCAGATACAGGTGTGTTGATATAATGTGACAATAAACAAACAAAAATATATTTTATATATATTTATATAAATTTGTATTATATAAATTTGTAATACTTATACATAATATGTAAGATTTTTTAAACACAAATGTAAAGGTCATAACTCTTTTAACAATGGTGTTCATTATTTTCAGATGCTGTGCTGTGTGGCCAGATCTTAGCAGGCCTTCACTGCTGATTGATTTAAATACTAAATCGTCAGAAGAATGACATCTTTATTTAGATTTCGGTGCTGATATGAGGCAAATGAAAAACTTTAATTAGCATCATATAATTCATTCATATTATTTAGTGTTTTGACATTTAACAATGATTTTCTAGAGGTGAAAAGAATGTTCCTGCACTGTTTGTAAAAGAAGTGTGTTCATCTGAAGTGTGTGAGAATCTCAAAATAAAAAGCTGATGAAGTAATGAGCTGTGGAACATTGCAATTACACATGGGGATGGTATTTTAGCATACAACATAAGGGAGGCAAATCACAAACTGAGTAAAGCTGATGGGACAGCTAAAGCATGTCACCACCGTAAATCCTGGACTACAATTAATACAGGCTTCTTTTTCAAGAGAGGCATGCCGCACATTTCCAGCATTTAACTCTATTCAGTCTGTGTCTATGAAAGTCAAAGGATGGTCTGGTTTAAGTGGAGCCGGCTTTGCTCTGCATTGTACAGCCACTGGACAATAACACATCCAGTGAAGGGTCTGACCCTAATATCTTTTGTGAAATGCTGCTTTTGTAAAAGAAAATAAAACTTTACTTGTTCACTATCCAGAGATTTTCTGTTTTGGTTTTGGTTCTTTCTACATTAAACCAGAATCTATGATTTACAATGAGTGAAAAGCCATTCCGATGTGGTTAAATCAGGGAAAAAATAAACTGTTTTAGTAAGTCTTAATTTTTATTGTGCAAAAGTGGTGGATTTTTCTTTGAATTTGCGAGACCTCCAATTCCTCGGCCGCTATGGGCAAATAACTAGAAAACAAACAAAGTGCAGAAAAACTATTTGCGCAACAAACCAGTGTTTTTGCCAGTTAATGCCATAATGGCAGTTTGCATTATAAAACAGCATAATGGCCTTTTTTTGTACAAGTAAAATAACTGGAAGCGAATGTCACACATTCAAGTTACAAATGGCTGCATCTGCTTTTACATTAATTCTTACCTTAAGTTTTTTCACCTTATTACACTAAAAAATGCTGGGTTGTTTTAACCCAACTTTGGGTCAAATATGGACTAACCCAACCATTTATTTTATTTTATTTATTTATTTTTGTTTTGGAAAAGAAATTTGCAAAACATAAAATTCCAAAACGTCACGTTCGAAATATTATCCTTGTGCCGCTAGATGGCGACAACGGATCTTTGTCCTTTTGAAACACACATGCAGAAGTACAGAAGAACATGTCCCGGAAATATTAACCGATTTTAAATATCTTCTGATGAATAAACTTATGTAGGAGTGAGGTTTTGTATTTATTTATTAAATAAGTGAACAGTTATTCAGCATGGACATATCCTCTGATGAATCTGATGACTGGTTTATGGAGTCTCTAAACACGTGAGTCTGACAGCAGTAGAGTTGCATTTGATCGCCTGTAAATAGTTGTGTCTTAACACTTATTGCTTTGCCTAACGCTACCTAAACAGCATTTTCTTGAGCACCGGGGACGTGTTTCATTAGCCAGTAAATGTGTGTCTTTTTAATTTCAGATACAAAGACCTGCATGTATTTCAACTCGAGCATCCGACGAAAGTAATAGAGTGGACGGGTGACAAAAGTAAAGCGTCTCTGAATTCCTGAAAAAGTTGAATCATTAAAGTAGAAAATCCACTAAATTCTAAAAAGGCTGTTTTTTCTTCTGTATTCCAGATATTTGTGTTGCAGGATACACTGGAGCAAGAAGCGAAATCTTGGAGTTACTTCTGCCTCTTAAGTTATATGCAGGAGAAAACCAGGTGAATGAAGACACTAGTATGTTTTTTGAATGTGCCGTTCGTTTAATTAACTGCTTATTGGTCACAACTTTAGGGTCTTTGTGCAGAAAGAGACTTCAAAGTACAGCATGGTGGCTTTTCTGAGGAACCTGTTGAGAGTTTGATACATATCCCTGGAACAAGGTAATAACTAGATCTTGATATGTTCAGAAGTTCAGAAGCCTTTTCTATTGCAATTTGCAACAATCTATTTCAGTTTTTTTACTGGCAAAATACTGCTGAGTTTGATTTGGCACAATGCCAACAACAGCAAGATATTGAAAAATATTCAGTTCGTCTCAGTTTTAAAAATTTAGAGCCCTATTTATCGTGCCATCTGCATGATTATTTGATATATGGTTCTTTACAGGTGTGTGGTGACTAGTGGAAGTTCTAGTTCGACATTGCAGATTTGGGATATTGGAGGCGATGATAGCGGTAGGATTAATGTCTGTGTAGTTCATTACAAATAGAATTAGCAATGACAAAGTAAACAAATCATCTACATGCATTTGATGAATTATGTGTAATTATCTTCTAAATACAAAATAATTTTTTATAATTATTCAAAAATAATCTGACATATTTTTGAATTCATGGAGCATTTTGCAAATCCTTAACATTTCATGTAGCATCTTACCTGATTTTTCAATACAGATGTTATAAAAGCGACTGGAGTCATAAACCTCAAGAGCACATCAGCAAAAGGCAGTAAAATAGCACCTGGATTGGCAGACGAACCAGCAGTCCTTCATGGTTCTTGTATAAGTGAAGTTCAGCTGACAGAGATAGCAACAGGACAGATTCTGTATACAGTAGGTAATATCAAAACTTACTTATTTTATTTTTAAATGCCATATCAGTTCAGCTCATTTAATCTGACTTTTTTTTTTTTTACAGCAAAAGAGTCCTCAGATTCAGTGAGTGGCTTACAGTTTGTGAATGCTTGTGTGTTTCTCATTTGTGCGAGCGATGGCACTCTGCTCATGGGTGACACAAGAGATCCCTCGACTTGTCATTATCCTCTGGAAGACAGTAAGAGTGGTTTGCACTGGTCATTTGGATTGAGGAGTGACAGCTCTCAGTCAGAACCTTCCTCTTGTACTGTAGCAAGAATCTCGTCCTCTGGTCACATGCTGTTGTCTGATCTAAGAAATTTACAGAGTCCGTTTTGTCAAACCCAACTAAATGTCCAACACAACACATCAAAGAATGACTTCCTGAACGTTTCTTGGGCTCCTGTTCTCGACAGATGTCTGTCTGTGTCGGGTAAGTAAAGAATGCTTCCATTTTTCCTGTCTCAAATAAGGAACATAAACTTTTAGTTTTGTAAGGTTGTGTTAGATAGAAAATGTCGTGTTCGTATTCCTTAATGTAAAGACCTCTGGTTACTCACCAATGACCTGACAATTTTTGCTTTCTCAAATTTGGAAGGGTTTGATGGAACAGTGCACATCTACAACACAATGAATTGGAGTAAAGAGGGACAGAGCCCACAGCCAGTTTTTTCACACCGAGGTCATGAAATGTCACATGAAGCAAAATACAGTGGTTCCCCGCCTGTGGTTACCACCCATTCTTGGCATCAGTCACGGCCAAAGACTCTTCTCTCTGCAGCTACGGATGGATCTCTTCATGTATGGGACTGGGTGGATAAAATCACTGACAGATGATGTTGATGTTCATTAGATAATAGACAAAACTATTGTGTAATTATACAAGCATATCCTTTATTCATTTTAAACAGATTTGCATAATACTTTGCAGTCCGAGTACAATGTTTGTGAACTCATTATGTAATATTAAACAATTGAAAAATAACATTGTCTGAATTTTGACAATGACCTTTAGCAAACTATATTATTACACTGTATTATTACACGGCTCTCTGGAATACTTGATTCTGATTGGTCAGTTGCTGCGTTCAGCAGTGTGATATTTCAACTCAAATCAAATTAGTTTGAGTAGCCGTGTAATCATCATAAAAATTAATATTGTAGCCTACCACCATTTCTACACCGGACGCGAACAGCGCGACGGGACAAAAAAAAAAAAAGAACATTAATATCACTGATGCTGGAAGCTGGATGGCGACAAATCTCCTACACTAAACTGATGCACCGGCCCGTTATATTTCTGACGTACTCCAGGACAACTTCCAACAACAGCCCATTCACATATAATTTTTTTTTTTGCATTGAAAAACGTGAAATGGAACGGTACAACACGCAAGGTCTCAGGATGCACATGGTGTGTTCTGTTTAATTAGATTCCAGTTTCCGTATTTAAAAAGAAAAAGAAAAAAGTTTCAGTCAGAGAATGTAATTGTGTATGTAATGTTATGAAGTTACCAATAAAATAAAACTAAACTAATAAAAGTATGATTACTGTTTCCTACATTGAATACCTCAGGTGAATGGAATAAAGTTTTTAAAAAGGAATATTTGAGAATTATTGGCATGCTAATAAGGAAAGCATATTGCTTGGTTATGATAATTTGCTGTTTGAATTAATAAACGAATGCATTTATAACTTGAATTTTTTAACATTCAGCAATTTTCATTAGTAAACAAATGAACCAGCAAAAAAAAATAAAAATGAAAAGACAACAGTTCTTGAGTATGAACTTGAACGTTGCTATGGAGAATCCACCTGTGGTGATTCCACAGCGTAGTTGATTTTATATAACTTACAAGCTATCTCTTCAATTTCTTTTTCCTGTCCACATTCCATGAGACAGGCAATGTACTCTGTATTCTCACACTCAGCCAGATCCGAGTATCCACTTGGACCATTATTGATTGTGCCCTTACAGTTCCATTGGTTTGGATCGCGCGGTGATTTATTCACATAGATTCCGAGATTCTTTCTCTCATTTTTATCGGTTGGATGAGAATAGAGCAGCAAAGCATGGGAAGGAATATACAGCACACTACCTTGGCAACCGTTACTGGTCTCTATCAGCTTTTGAACAGTAAAAGGTTTTTCAAAAGTTTCTCCACTACTGGTGCTTAGAGCTTCGACTCTGTAGCCGGATGAACTTCGAGTATTGCAGTACAGGAAACTATCACTTTTATCTGTGATCTCAGCCATCTGACATTCATTAGACTCACCATCCATATGTTTTCCTACTTGCCAAGTATGTCCTTTATCATCACTGTAAAATGTGACTGCATGTGATGTGGGGTCATGGGGCTCAACAAAGTAATACACACATGCTGGGATAATCAGTCTTCCGTCCTTCGTTTGAATACCATGCCCTGGTCCAACAGCAAAGGTGGCCCAGTGTTTCTCCTTTTCACGGATCACATCTTTCAGTTCTGTAATAACACTCCAGTTTTTGCCGGTGTCCTGACTGGTTACGTAACAAAGTCGTGCCTGGTTCTTTTTTGCGTCTATTTGACTAATTTCAGAGACCCCATCAGGAACACAAATGAAAAACAGAAAGAGGGTCTTGGATTCTCTCTTAGACCGGACATGGATTCATGCTGCGGTGGTTTGGTAGACAAGCTGAAGAGAGCAACTCATGACTACTATCCCACTGAAATAAAAATGATGACATCATGACAGTGTTCATGCCTTCTATTAACTAATGAATGCTAGATTGGGTAAAGAATTTATGAAATAGTGAAGTTGTAAGAAAACTGTCAGGAATAACATTTTATGATTTTGGTTAAACATGTCTAGTACCTCAATTTTTTTCTTGACATCCTCCCACAATCCTCTTCTCATCACAAGCTTGTCTGCATATGTGTCACTTGGTTTTTTCCGTTTTTCAGCAAAGGCAAGGTAGGTTTTATTTTCACTGATATAGATAAGAGCTGGAATTCTGTATGTCACCTGTCGTTTGCAACAACACCAACTTGGCCAACAACACCAACTTGGCCAACAACACCAACCTAACCAACAACACCAAACTTGAGGCTGTTCCTGTTTGAATATTGTTTTAATGTCTGTTAGATCAAATGGTGTTTTGTCATCCATTGTTAAATGTAAGACCTAGAAATAGAATAAACAGTATCAGATATGAGACAAATTATACTTTTATTATTATAAAATTATAAAGAAAAAGAAAAAAACAAAGATTAAATTGTTTTCTACCTTTTTTGTCTAATAGTTACATAATATTTTTAAAAATGATTTAAAAATGTGAGGATAAAAACAGTCAAGGAGTTTGCAGCACGGACAAGATTCGCTACTTCTTCGCAAGCAGGACAAAGTACAGGCACTCATGCCTCTTGTCCAAAATGTCGATTTTTGCACTTGTTTGATTCATGTTTTTGTCGTTTTGTCTTTGAAAGACATTGCTTGAGATTCCAATGATCAAATCAAATAAAGTGAAATTTGCCATCAAATAATTTTAGACATTTTCTTAGAATTATCTTTACGCCTTTTAGCCATTTTGTAATTACTTTCAATTTTAAGAGGATGTATGAAGTCAGTTCTGGTAACTCAGAATTACTATTTTCAACAACTAAATGATTAAGTGCAATTTACTATTTTTATTTCAAACAGCACATTTAAGTTGAGCTAACTAATTTAACATTTCATGCAACTTGGAATTTCTTAGTTGTATTTACTTAAACAGCAATCTAATTTACTTGCTAAAACCATGCAAACTGATTGCCTTAAAAACAAGTGTTACTCCAGTAACTTAAGTACTTCAAACATCCATTATAAATGAATGAAAACAATGTTCCATTCAGCGCACATACAAATACACATACATTTATGGTAGTGACAGTTCAAAGTTAAAGGTAATGTCATGTTTATTGTTTTTCTACAACTGCCATTGTTCTTTTGCTATTTGTGGTTTACACCAACAATACAGTTTTAACTTTTGAAACAAAGCAAAAACAATCTGATTCAGGGTATGTTTCTTCTAAACAGTGGAGGTAGAAGTAGGATGAGTTTAAGTACGGCACTGGGGTGGCCGCACAAGTTGCCAATGGTCACTTTAGTTTTAGTTTTTTTTTTTTTTTGCGGTCCCAATCAAGCATCACACTTTGAATGAACCTTTTTTTATGGCATTGGGGTAATCCAAATGTACCGTATGACAGTCCGAAAGCAAATGGTTTAGGTAGATTCTGGAGACTGTTATTTGCAATACTGCCTTAAACCATGATGTCAAAAGACACGGGGTTTAGAACATTTTTAATTTTTCATGGTGCAAATTTTCATTTGTGGGTGAACTATATATATAATAATCATTAATCTTTATATAAATATCTTAATAATACACCAGCAAATATAAAGGAAACACAATTATGTGCTTCTCAAATATGTGTAACTATGAGACTTACAAAGCAGGTTAGTTGTAGAAGTATCTGGGGAAATCACAAAGTAAACACAAAGTAAAACAGGTAGGCCTCAGATGGTTGTGCAGTGCTGTCAAATCTGGGTTCTAGAAGTAAAAAAAAAAATGTAAAAAAATAAAGTTTAAGACATTCAAGAGTTACAGGACAAATATGTTTGTCAAAGTGTCAATAAAGAAGTCATTAGCCCTATTCGCAAGGGATTAGTATAATCTGGGGACCTTGTGTGATTTTGACATTTTTTGCCAAATGCAGGCCAAATCACAGAGATGCCAATTCGCACGGGACTAATATTATCACAGGACCTTGGTGTTCGGCTAAATATGGTAGGTCATTTGCAGGGGAATTTTTACTTTACAAATTACAGACATGGCCGATTCGCACGGGATTAAAATCACAGACAATCTCCGCAATTATTACAAATGACTGGAGGTCACCAGGTAATACTAATGCCGGGGCTATTGACTATAGGGCTATTGACACTGTTTATTTTTAAAATACTGAAAACAATTTAGGCAGCAACATATATTTTTTAGCGGTTGAAGAGTGTAAAGTGTCCTCTTAGAACTGCCAAAAAAAAAAAACAATGGTTTCAGTTATACTGCATCTGCAAGAAATTATTTGAAATCGTAAATAAAGTGTAGCACTGTGATTACTGAGTCAAAAACTGCTCTACTGCGGGGTATAACAGCTTAAGTTGAAATACCTCACCTCCAGTGAACTGAGGACTGTGCTGATGAGACTGGTGTTCAGAAAAGACAGTTTCCACAAGCACTTTTCCTAAATATGACAAATAACTCTTTGGTTAAAAAAGGAAGATCCACAAGTGTTGTGGCTTGTAGATAAGAGACACATTCAGAATCATTACTTGATATTTGCATACTTTATAAGAATTACATAAGAAAGAAAGAAAGAAAGAAAGAAAGAAAGAAGGTTTTCTATACATATCTATTTGAGGCCTTATCAGGGGCGCCGCTAGCAATTTTGGGCCTTATGAAAGAATATGAGGTTGGGCCCCCTACCGCACCAAACATACACTATATTGCCCAAAGTATTGGGAAAACTCAATAAAACAAAAAAAAACTCATCGCCAAACACCAATGACTTTTACATATGCGTACAATCGTTTTAGACACTTCCAAAACTGTGGCAACAAAGATGGAAATACAATTTTTAAATACATGAATTATGTTTCCAACTTTGATGCCACAGTTTTGGAAGTGCCTTTTTCTGTTCTAAAGAAGGGGGTGTCCCAATACATTTGTCCATGTGTATGTACAAGTCATTGGTGTTTGGTGATGAGTTTTTGGCTCAAGGTCTGCATTTAAAGTCACACCAGAGGTGTTACACCGGAGGTGTTCAGCTGGGATTAGGACTTTGCTTTCTGCAGACAAGTCAAGTACCTCCTCACTGACTGAATCAATCTTTTTTTTTTATACACAGAGGCATTGTTGTGTTAGAATAGAAAATGGTCCTGTTGAAATTATTGGTAGGCAATAAAATTAGAAGCTCTCAATTCCCTAGAATAGCATTACATGCTTTTTTTTTAAATGAGGAATTACTAAAGTAGTCAAACCTGTTCATTAGAAGGGGGTGTCCCAATACTTTTGGCAATATAGTGTACAAGCCAGCCTAGCTATTCAAAATCTTTGTCTGCAATTTAATAATATTGACCTATTACTTTTGCTATTGCTTTTGACAATTAGGTATCAGTAACATAATTCATTCAGAACCTGTTTTATGGACATAGACTTTCTGTACCTCACTATTCTGCTGATATGGAATGAGTTTGACTACTTAATCATAAATAATGATATGATACCTAAAATAATAAATAGGATACCCCATAGCAGTATTTCCAGCAGTATCCAACATTTCTCAATCATGATCTTCCTCCGCTAAATGTGACTATTAGCTTAACAGCTGTATTCCTTGTATGCTAGCTACCTATGCATATACAGCATACAATGTTAAAAATGTTCTACATTATGAACCTTAACCCAAAAACCTTTAGCTTCATACACTGTAGATAATTGTGCCCCTGCCTGTGGAAACCCAGCTAAAGTATTTTTTTGGCAAAATCTATTAATATGAAGGAATTTTCCATAATTATTATTCACACGTTTTTTTACCTACATTTTAAATTACGCATTGTATTTTGTGTTTTCGGGTTACAATGGATAATGGAAAATGTCCTGGAAAATTACTACATTTTTCTAGATATTTTTCTTACCGTGCACTAACTGATCAACAAACTCAAGTACAAGCTACTAACAAGGTGTATCATAAATGAACAATTATTCAATTATTATTATTATTATTAAATTAAACAATTGCTAATAGCAGCCAACTTAATTCATGTGAATTGTGTACTGCTAGGCACCTTTGGTTTCCTCTTTTTGTGTAATTTAGATGGAAAATGTGTGCCTTTTTTATCGTTTGAGTCACTTATCAAAAGTTGTTAAATGTTGCCAAATAAATAAATAAAAAAAGCTAAATTTGTTGCTAGGTGCTTTTGGAAGAAAATTTGCTAGGGTAGTCTGAAAAGTTGCTAAATCTAGCAACAATATTGCTAAGTTGGCAACACTGGGCTCCACAATCCGCCATTGCTGTAAAAAAACTGGTCCATTGGAGTGAACGGAGTTGGCAACTCTCTCTCTCTATGGCTCTGCTCTAGGCTACGTAGGATGGGACGAAACCATGCAGTGAATGGGGGGAGATATTTGTGCTGGAAATGCAGAAATAAGCCGTATTTTTGTTTTATTTGTAACTCTTTGGTAGATACATTTATAATTTCCATTACAATACTACTACTACTGTTACTACTAATAAAACAGATCTCTGGGGGCCCCAAAAGTGCGTGGGCCCTAAGAATCCTCCTAACTTCCCCCCCTTAGCGGCGCCCCTGGGCCTTAGTCATGAAACCAATTCATAATAACAGCATTTTCTCGGTATTACTGCAATAAGTGTTCCAACACAGCAAAGAAATAACAATTACTGCAAGACAAAGAGCTCATTAAGTTTAAACCTCAGAGGTGTAATCATGTAATGACTATGATTGTGATGTTTTAAAAATATATTGACAATAAAACTGCAAATTGAAAAATAACTTTACCCAAAAAGTGACAAACGCATCCCAGTGTTATAAAATTATAGAGGGAACACTGCAAAAGATTACCATAAACAGTTAATTCTATCAGTGGCACCTAAAGATTGATTTCAAAACCTGATGAGAGTCATTTTGGCGATTTTTAGCATGCTCTTGAACCTTGGAATTTCCATGTTGTACATTTTTTTTTAAACTTAAAACCATTATGCGTTTGTTGCATCAACTCGGGGCAAAATAGAAAACTTGCTACAAAGTTTTAAATTTGAGACAGTAAAAAAAGCATTTCATTTGCCAAAATATGCCACGAGTTCTAACAGCAGAATAGCTAAGATCTTTGCCTGTTAACTTCTACACCTGATGCGACATCGCGCCATGTAGAAGCTCTCCGCACTGGACGCGACAAAGCGAGCGTTGCAAATACCCGCATCTAGTGTGAATAGAATCACCGATTATAACGGGTTCTATTGGCTTTTGTTGTGTGTCGCGCCTCGCCACTCGCGTCCGGTGTAGAGAGGGAGTAAGTCAGTTAAAATTGGCAGCAGACGGAAAGATGCATTTACACAATTTTTTTTTTTTGTTAACTTACCTTATTATTCTTGTATAGACGTAATCAATCTTTATCCAGTGGTAAAAATGAAAGCAGTTTCTCTGCTTCTTTTCCCAGCAGCTTCAGCAAATTCAGCGTCAATTAACCTGAGCCAAAGGACATCAGCAAGCATGCACAAATTCAAAACGTTGCTTGTTTCGCATGCTCTAACCTTCCTTATTTCTTCTGTTGTTTTGTTGCACATTAACAACATATTAGTGCACTGCTGCCTGGTGTATTGGTTCCTTTGTGGCTACTTGATTAGGCTATTTTAAGTAAGCATCACTCAAAGCAGTAAGCAGGCTAAATTGTTTTATTCACCTTGAAATTAAATGTAGCGTAATAAAACCTAGTAAGTACATCAACAAAGTAAGGATAACTAATGATATCTAAGTAAAGTAAATATTGGAGTTTATCATTTACTATACATTGTACTTAATATTTAGCCTTGTTAAATATTTTTTGCTTTTGACTGGACAACATGACAACATATAGGCTAACATACAATACAAATAAAGTTCTACATGCAAGTCTGTATCTTCCATCGATAATTCTCCAGTAAACTACAAGAAGTAATACTCACAGAAATGATCTTTCCTGCAGCATCATCAGCCGAATCTCTCAAAAAGTCCATCACCACTAACACTACACAAGCCCTTATAGTCTAACCCACCCATGCTGTGCTTCCCTTATTTATAGTATTAAATATAGCGACTCAGGAAATTGTCCAAATTTGGTCTTCTCAGCATTCTTTCCACCCATGCATGTCTTGTCAGATTTTTCCACATGCATGGATGAGTGATGGCGTTTTAAAATCTTGATGTACTTAAAAAAAAACTAAAAATGCCACCTGTTTGTCAGTAGATAAACCTTTCTGAAACATCAGTCAACATTGTTATGACAAAACTTAAAAAATTAGAACTATCCATATATGAAATAATATTTTAGAAGATTTATAACAGTACATTTACCTCAGAATAACCATTCGGCATCCATAAGCTCATTAGTCACCTAGAAAAATAACTATAAAGGTGCAATATCATTAAAGGTGCATCTGGCAGTACAGAGTACTCATACCTTTCTCGTCAATGATCTCAGCCATCTGACACTCGCACGACTTAACATCCATTTGGTTCCCCACCTTCCATGTGATTGGAGAATTTTGCTAAATATATGCGCTATATTGCATATTCATATTTTTACTTAACCTGTTGTCTACATGATAAGAAAGAATTCTAAAGATAAAATTCAAAACCTCCTATATAATTGCATGTTACTAATGAAGAAAAACAGACTGAATGTGTGCAAGACATACAACATTTTCAGGATGCATTGAGGAGGAGCCCAAACGGCACTCAATGGCCAAATGATGTTGACATAGTTATGGTCCGTGATATTGGCACATATTCTGTGTAATAAACAATTCTTTGTGACTGTCTATAGTTCTGAATTTGGAAAAGACGTTTAGTTCCCACTTATGTCTTGGGAACTAAGTGAACCTAGTTCCCAAGACATCTACAAGATGGATTAAAATGCTGATGCTGTAAAAGGAGGGGAGACATAAACACATGACAGTATGACTGAAATGTTAAAGTGTTAAAAAAAAAGAAATAAAACATGTTTATTCTGTGGCACTTACAAAAATTATTTGGTGTCTAATTTTGTTTCTTATAGGAGCCAATGGCTTCTTAAAGGGGTCATATGATGCGATTTCAAGTTTTCCTTTCTCTTTGGAGTGTTACAAGCTCTTGGTGCGTAAAGAAGATCTGTAAAGTTGCAAAGACTAAAGTCTCAAATCCAAAGAGATATTCTTTATAAAAGTTAAGAGTCAACCACGCCTACCTAAAACGGCTCGTTCTAACACGCCCCCACATGTCTCTCTCACTATGTGGAAATATTAGCATAATGCCGCCCAAATGTGCACGCAAAGAAAGAAGGCGTGGTTTCAGGAACAGCAGTAGTGTTGATGCAGCCATGTCAGGGAGACGCTGTGTTTCAGTGCGAAAGCAAAAGCACTTTATTTGGCCTTCCGGAAGTAGATGCAATTAGGAATCATTGGTT